AATAGATAAACAACAAGGACCTACTGTATATCATAGCATATCACTATTCTCTATACTCAATATCTTGTGATAACCTGTAAAGAAGAGAATCTGAATACATATATATATAATGTAAAATAGATAAATAACAAGGACCTACTGTATATCACAGTATATCACTATACACTCAATATCTTGTGATAGCCTAAAATAGAAAAGAATCTGAATATTATATATATAATATTTATGTAATATAGGTATATAAGGGGCTTCCCAGGTGGCACTAGTGGTAAAGAACTTTCCTGCCAATGCAGGAGACAAAAGAGAGATGCAGGTTCGATTCCTGGGTCAGGAAGATCCTTGCACACCCTCGCACGCCTTCTCACACTCTCGCAGCCCACTCTAGTATTCTTGCCTGGAGAATCCCATTGACAGAGGAGCCTAGCAGGCTACAGTCCACAGGGTCTCAAAGGGTCAGACACGACTGAAGCGACTTAGTATGCACGCATATATATCTTAATCACTTTGCTGAGGACCTGAAACGTTGTAAATCAACTGTACTCCAACAAAAAGCAAAACGAATGAAAAAAGAAAATCATCTGAAAAGTTTCCAAATTTAGGAGATTTTACTAGTGTTTTGCTCCTTCCAAAAATATTTACACTTTAAATTCCAGAAAAATATTTGATGAAAGACTGTGGGAGAGAGTAGGAAAAAGTTACTGATAGCAAGAGACATACTACATCTTTTGATTCCTAGCACTTGTGACGGCTACAGTACAATAATAAAATGATGCATGAGGAGCCAGGTTTGGGGCCACTTCACGCAGGAATAGTCATCCGTTCATTCATCGTTCAGTCACCCATACATTGTGGCTGAGCAGTCTGCGCTCCAATCTGAAACACTTGAGATCCCATCCCTTCCCACCTACTCAAGGACATAATCACAGTAATTTTTCTTTCCCTCTCCTAAGTCATTAACATTTCCCTTTCTATTGTAATCATTTATATCAGCATTTCAAATAAGCTAGCTCTCTCTCTTCTTAAAGGAAAAAAACAGGAAAACAGAACACCACAAACCTCCCTTCCTCCTTCAACTACTCTCCATATGTGTCAATTTTATTTAACCTCAAAAATCCCTACAATAATTTTCTATTATTTTCTTCCTTGGGTGGGAGACCTGGGTTTGATCTCTGGGTCAGGCAAATCCCCTGGAGAAGGAACTGGCAACCCACTCCAGTGTTCTTGCTTGGAGAATCCTATGGACAGAGGAACCCAGAGGACTACAGTTCGTGGGGTTACAAAGTTGGACATGGCTGAGCGATTAACACACACACATTTTCTTCCTTGTTTCAATTCCTATTTTTCCATCCTCTGATGAACATAACACCACTGGGTTTTGTCCCCAGCCCTCCAGCAAAACTTTTCTGGTCAGCACCAATGTGGTAAAAAGCATCGTTCAATCCTCAGGCTTCAATATATTTGACCGACCAGTAAGATCTCTCTTCTTTAATCCCTTTTTTCATTTCACTCTGATGCAACACCCACTTTGGTGGTTCTCTTACTACCTCTTCTTACTGGATTCTTCTACTGTTCCTGTTATGTAAGCAATTACATGCACCCAAGGAACTGTCCTGGGTGCTTTTATTCTATCTAATTTTAGGTCCTAGGGATTCTTAACTAGACTCTTGACTGCAATATCTGTGACTCTCATATTAGCATCCCCAACTTTGATCTCTACCATGAATCCTGGATCCAATTGCCCATCCAGAATTCTCCATTTGAATATCTAAAAGGACTCCCAACATTGGCGATGAAAGCTGAACTCCCATTCCCCCACCATTCAACCTAAACTTACTTATCTTCAAATCTTTAGCATTTCATTAAGTGTAAGCATCATTCTTCTAGTTGTCTCAGATAAAACCAACACATAACAACAGAACCCAGAACAACAGCAAAGCACACTTGAGAACCATCTTCAGTTCCTTTCTTTCATTCTACTTCTACATCTCATCAGTTAGAAAATTCTAATGATGCCCATAATTTTAGTATTTTATGACACCTCTACTAGTATCACCCTACTCCAAATTACCACCATTTCTCACATGAATCACTGCAAAAGTTCTCTCTGAATTCCCTGCATCCAGTTATACCCCATCCATCTATTCAACCCATGGAAACCATAGTCATCATTGTGGGATGGTCAATTAGGGCACATCATTCCTATGCTCAAAAATCTCCTGTAATCTTTCTTCTATCAGAGTAAAACATAAGTGTTTATAAGGCTTTGTATTACCTGATGGTCCACTACCAGTCTGAAATTAAATTACTGCCCCCAACATCAGTATTTGCTCGGTCACAACAGGACACCTTGCCCTCGGAGGTTTCCTCTGCCAAGAACCCTCTTCCCATAGATAGCCACATGCGGTTCATGTCTCCAGCGACAGGCTCCCAGTGTCTCACACTCCTGCTCAGATGTTGCGGATCTCAGAATTCTTCCCTGGAGTCTATTCTTATCTTCCTCATCTTGGCTTGTTTTACAGGGTAAAAAACTGTTACCACCTGTTATATACATTTATTTAAACATATCTTTCATGTTGCCTCTCCTTTACCCTTCTTTCAGAATGTAGTCTTTTATAACCAGGAACTTTGTTCTGTTTATTGATATTTCATAAAAGCTTAGGGTTTCCCAGGTGGCGCCTGTAGTAAAGAATCTGCCTGTCAATGCAACGAGACGTAAGAGATGCAGGTTCGATCGCTGGGTTGGGAAGACCCCCTGGAGAAAGGCACGGCAACCCACTCCAGTACTTTTGCCTGGAGAATGCCATGGAAGGAGGAGCCTGGCGGGCTACAGTCGATGGGGTCACAAAGAGTCAGAAGCAACTGAAGAGACTTAGCACACACACATAAAAGCCTAGAACATTTCCTGGCATTCAGTAAAATTCCAATAAATATTTTACCAATCAATGAATATATTTGACACAAGTTATTGGGATGGCCCAAAAACTGCATTCGGGTTTTTTCCATAAGACGTTATGGAAAAACTCATACGATCTTTTTGACCTAGTAATTATTGAGCAATAATTTGGCTTAAGATTCTGTTCTAAGAACTGCACAGTCACTTACCTAAATTCCTGTTCCTGTTCCCTGAGTTATAGACTTCTTGGAATTATGCCTCTTTGAACACTTTACCACCTAAGAGTCATTTTTGCTGTCTTAACATCTATAGATCTTTAGATAGAAACTTTCTGAAGGTTGTTGATGAAACACAGAATCTAATAGTACAGTGATAAGCATACTGTGGGTGCTCTGTATAGTCTAATAGAACAATTCAGCAAATAATTCTGTCCCTACGCTTAGGGAAAATAATGAATTCATGAGTTTTAATGGCAAGATTGGGAAACTTTAGATTTTATATATGAAGTTACTTTAAAAATCATGAGTTTCCTTTTTTGTTTGAGTTTCAGAAATATTAGACTCACAGAAGTAATTTAAAATGTTCATATACATATAGAAGTTTATCAGAGGTACTTTGCAGAAAAAAAATTATTGTAAGAAAGGAACCTGTGATGTCAACTAAAACTGGGTAGAAATAAACAACATCTTACAAAAAGCATATACGATTATTAACATGTTTATGAAGCATGCAATTTTATAAATATTTGGGCATTTGGTGATAGAATGGATTTCCATTTTAATAGTCCAGAGAAAAAGATCGCACTCTTTCACAATGATCCTCTAGAAAAGTTCTTTCTATACTTTTGTTTCCAAATCTCTCTCCCTGTTTCTCTCCCTCTTCTTCCGCATCAGTCATTAAATGATTGGAGTAGTGCATCCTTACTTTGCTTCTTTATAAGAATGAATGTATGTGTGTGTGTGTTTGTCATTTAGTCATGTCCAACTCTTTGTGACACTGTGGACTATAGCCCGCCAAGCTCCTGTGTCCATGGAATTCTCCAGGCAAGAGTAGTGAAGTGGGTAGACAGTTCCTTCTCCAGGGGATCTTCCTGACCCGAGGATTGAATCCAGTTTCTTGCATTGTAGGCAGATTCTTCACCACCTGAGCCACCAAGGGAGCCCGTAAGAATGAATAGTCCACCTTAAAAGAATATTTTCTTTTTCTCCATATTATAGTGTTCACAGAGAGTAAGCAAAAGGATTAATTTCAGATTAGATGAACAGTCCACCAACTATCAAGACAGCTTACTATTACCATTCAGTTATCCAGGCAATTGATGGATTAATTTCCTGAATTCTGTCTCTTTGCCCTTAATAAATGTACTTCATTGAATAAATAGGACTCCATCAAATACACATTTCTACCTGTACTCCTACAATATATACACTCAGAAAATGCTGAACATTTTTTTGGAAAAATCAAAAGTTGTGTATCCTTCTTTTGATCTCAATACACTGGAAAATGTAGCCTCAGTTTGGAGGCTGCAATTGAGGCTCATTTGCATGTAGCAGGTAGGTTTTGAAGCATAAAAGTCATTTCATTTGAACAAAGCTGGGACACTTAGTACCAGGCAAGAGATGTAATAGCCACAGAACTCTGCATAGCAACCGCACACTGAAGCTTCCACTTCAGAAACTCACAAAAGTCTAATTATTAACAAGTCTTTTCATAGAAAGATGAACTCTATTATAAGATAAGGATGATACAAAGACCTTTAAAGGTAGGCATTTTTCATTAAATATTAAATAAGTGTGTGTTCCCTTAAGCTTTTATCAAGAGATTGTTCAGTATGAACTTTTATTTAAAGGAAACGGAATTTTTTCTTAATCCCATCTGCACCTCCATAATCATAACACAGAAGTAAACAACTTTTGTTAACTAAGACAAGAGTCCTGTCCCTAAGGTGGGTTGTTTTCTGTTACAGTTGAGGAGACATTTTCACTTTGTCTTTTCAAGTCTAACTTTGGCAAACCCCTTCTTGAGCAGGTGACAACATCAGAGTTTTCGCAGGACTCACGAATTCCTGGGAGTGAGCAACACTCAGGACACTTTTGTTTATACTTACCGTTTTATTGCTTCTTCCTGTCTTCGGCGTTTTTCATTCTTCTCTTTCAAGTAGGCCAGGTTTGTCTCGTTTCTCAAGCGATCGTTCTCTCGAGCAATGTCTGATGCGTTCTGAATAACCAAGCCATCATAGGCCTTCATCCCCATATCCTCAATGTATTGGAGAAATGTGTCCAAAGGGTCTTCCTCGGGATTGGAGCTCATCATCTTGGAGGATTTCATGTGGAAAGGAACACTTCCTGTGGGATGAGAGCACATTTCACTTTCATCAGAGATGGGGTTAAAGTAGGGTGTTGCTTATTCTCCTAACATCTCATCAGCCCCAAACTCCAGTGACTATGGTAGAGTCTACTTGGAGAAAATGTCTCATTAGAAATCACAGTTGCATGCTAATGGCAAATATTAAACGAATTTTTCCTCGGTAGCAAACACTTTCCTCAAAGCAGCAAAATGAACAAATCAACATTCAAAGCTCTTGCACTGAAGGGTGATGTGAAGGTGTAAACATTTGGGGGGGAAAATAACATAGGTTATGGGCTTATCTGGTAGCACAAATGGTAAAGAATCCTCCTGCCAAAGCAGGAGATGCAGGTTTGATCCATGGGTTAGGAAGATCCCCTAGAGAAGGAAATGGCAACCCACTCTGGTATTCTTGCCTGGGAAATCCCATGTCCAGAATAGCCTGGTGGGCTACAGTCCATGGGGTAGCAGAACGTCGGACACGACTGAGCACGCATACACCACACTATGTAAACAGCCATGATTTTGTTTCTCAAAAATGTGTTCATATGCTAATAAGATGTATTAGAACCAAGCTCTAATTTTTTTTTGAACACCAAAACAACTTTTCTGTTCAGTTTCAAATAAAAAAATGTAGTAATTTGGAATGAACTTTCTCATTGTGTGTTTTCCTTGCCATTTAAAGTTAAGATTTATGAATCTGAACAATTCATGCAAAATAAAGCAGTTATCAAGGAAATGCACTTTTCTAATATAAGTTGGCTTAGAAAGAATCTCTTTTGGGTCCTCCATTATTCCCCGAAATGGCTTCATACTATAACTCAAAAATCATAGATCACCAGAACCATGTTAATACTTACCAGTCTGGTCATTCAAGCAATGATAATTTTGATTATCCTTACTACTTGAAGGATGAAAAACCTGAGCCACAGAAAGGAACTCTGAAAGCCAAAATCAAATCAAAACAAGCTCACCTATAAAATGATGGAAATAATAATGCTTAGCTCTTACTGATATGAAGATTATGGGAGGTGATGACTATAGAGAATTTCACATAGAGTTCAACAATAATAAGTGTATACATAGTAAAGCTTGTTGATATTATTGACAGAACAATCATGTAAAAAAATTATATATAGATGAAAGGGTAGATAAATAGCCAGCACACTATAGAAATCAGCATGGCTTGAAGTAGAAGTATCCAAAGAATCATAGAAATAAATGAAGCCAGGGGGTAGAGAAATTGTGTTTGTATCAATCAAAATAAAACTAAATTTTAATCAACTCCATGCAGAATAAGTATTTTACACTTCTAGCTTAATAACCCTTACTGTCCTCAGTTGCATATTCATCGTGGTAAAGCAAAATCAATTAACAAAGAGAAAATGTTGGCAAATTTAAAAATTATAAATCACCTTTACATCTTTCACCTTCTTCAACAGTCTCAGAAAGATTTTTTAAAAATATCAGCTGAGCTTTTTAAGGTAGAAGTCCTAGACCTTCATTTTTACCATTTCAAATTATTTCCATCCTGATTTTTTTTACAAGAATAATCATGTTCCATAACCTGGATCGTAGCTATGGAAACTTCACTTCTTATCAGAGTTTATTAGCATTTCAGCTGCCAGTCAATCCATACGTTACTTGAAGCCCACTCTAAATTTAAGGATTTATTCTTCAATATGTAAGAAATTGCTGAAACCAGAGGATCGATGAATGGTTTTTCATTCATGATTTTCTGTTATGTTGTTTTCTTATGTTTAATTTGGTTTTAAGCTGTAATGGGTTGGTAAATGAAATGGACTTCTAATTGCAACCATCTAATGGGACAAATTATATTCCATTATCATCCTATCAGAAGTGGTGAACATACATAGGAATAAAAAAATTCTGCTATGAATGATTGTAATTTGTGGTGGAGCGGACGCAACATGATTCTCAAAGAGCTAAAGCATTAGTATTATTGGGAATTCACTTCTACCAAGGATTTCAGCACTAGGTGTGCGTCGATAAAAAAAGATCTGCATAACTTCATGGCAATTATTTCTACCATAGTTAAGCAAGCCAAGTCAGTATTACAAGGATTCTGGAGAGAATGACTCAAGGTGGAAGATGATCACTCCTACTCTGCCCTGGAGCAAAATTGTCTATTTCCATTGTGTAAGGCATTATCCAAAGATTTTTATTTCTTCCCTTAAGTTTTCCTCTCCATCCAGATGACACCTACAATTCTTTGTGCAGTTTATATATTCCAAATATTAACCAGGTTATTTGTGCACCTCTGAAAATTATCTCCCTAAGTGGTCTTTCAATTTGATTAGAGTCCAAATTTGTTTATTTTGAGAAAATATTAAATAATAACATTGTAAAATATGTATACTATGGAGAATCCTATTATAAGGTGTTTTTTAAATTTAGATGAAAATTTGGGGGATGAAAATCAACTGTGATATCTATTAACACTTCAGAGCAATGAAAACTGGATGTTGGTGAACATGTTTTGCCATCCAGTTCTAGAGGATATTTGTTTCTACAATCATTCATTTATTCAAGTATTTCTTGAGCACATGTTATGAACTGTGCTGTGTGCTAAGTTGCTTCAGCCGTGTCCACCTCTGTGCGACCCAACGGACTGTAGCCCACCAGGCTCCTCTGTCCTTGGAATTCTCCAGGCAAGAGTACTAGAGTAGGTTGCCGTGCCCTCCTGCAGGGGATCTTCCTGACCCAGGGATTGAACCCGCATCTCTTGCATCTCCTGCATTGGCAGGCAAGTTCTTTACCACTAGCGCCACCTAGGAAGCTCCATATTATGCATTGAAAGTGAAAGTAAAGTCGCTCAGTCGTGCCCGACTCTTTGCGACCCCATGGACTGTAACCCACCAGGCTCCTCCATCCGTGGGATTCTCCAGCAAGAATCCTGGAGTGGGTTGCCATTTCCTTCTCCAGGAGATCTTCCCAACCCAGGGATCGCACCCGGGTCTCCCGTATTGCAGGCAGATGCTTTACCGTCTGAGCCACCGGGGAAGCTCACATTATGCATTGGGCAGTGATAAAGGCAAAATTGTATCCCTCTAGACGGCAACCCACTCCAGTGTTCTTGCCTGAAGAATCCCAGGGAAGGCGGAGCCTGGTGGGCTGCTGTCTGTGGGGGTCGCACAGAGTCGGACACGACTGAAGCAGCGCAGCAGCAGCAGCATTCATTCATTCAGCAGTGAAAGAACACAATAAGTAAATAATTGCAACACAGTGTGGCAAGGGCACCAATTCGCTTGGCAGTGTTGGCATTCACTGGTTTCTCATGGCGATGGTCAGCATTTTGGATGATGAGCACTTTTCAGTGATTATATGTAGTCTTCAAAAGTAAAAGTAAAAAAAATAAAAAAATAGACTTGGGCTGTATCACTATTTAAGTATCATACTTCTTTTTTGCCTTTGTAGTGCTAAGTGCTCTATCATGTCCGACTCTTTGAGGCCCCATGGACTGTAGCCCACCAGGCTCCTCTGCCCATGGAATTTTCCAAGCAAAAACACCGAATGAGTTGCCATTTCCTTCTCCAGGGGATCTTCCTGACCCAGGGATTGAACCCATGTCTCTTGTGTCTCTTGCATTGGCAGGTGAATTATTTGCCACTAGGGTCACCTGGGAAGCCCTTTTGCCTTTTTGTCAACATGTAAAATGTAGTTTGTAATGTAGAGGCAAAGAGTGGCAGTCTTGAAGGACATATAGTGGAGTAGTTGACCACAACGGCTTATAAGTCCTAAACTAAAGCACCCCTAGATCTATGACTTTGTGCAAGCTAATTAACCTCTTTAAGTTTCAGTCTCCACATTTTAAAAATCGTTATTTACCTCCTTACGCTATTGTGAGGATTCAGTTAGAAAAGGCATGCTCAATATGGGACCAAATTTATTAGTCATTAACATTAGATGATTTTCACAATTTTCAACTGTGTCAAAGATAAGGTTTAGTAATAATTCCTCTATAAATATAGTTTTACTTGAAACATAATAGAAGAGAATGCTTAATGCTCAACTTCCTTAATCACAGGTATGCAAATAGAGGCCTTGAAAAGGATGAATAGATTTGCTCACTAACCAAATGCATTTAAAATACTTATCCATTCTGCCCCATCCCTGATGGCTCAGCACGTAAAGAATCCACCTGCAATGCAGGAGGTGCAGCCGGCACAGGTTCGATCCCTGGGTTGGGAAGTTCCCCTGGAGAAGGAAATGGCAGCCCACTCCAGTATTCTTCCCAGGAACATCCCATGGACTGAGGAGCCTGGCAGACTAGAGTCCATAGGTTCACAAAGAGTCTGACAGCTGAGCATGCACACACACCCATTTTTCACATCTAGAAAATAAAGGCTCTGGGGAATATGAACCAAGACATGTATCCCATCTCCCAAACACTTGGACTCCCCAAGTCCATCCATCCAAGCCCAATGGTATTTCTCAGAAAACTGGGCTATGAATGAGCAGATTCATGGCCTCACCTAAGAAAAGTGCATCATATTAAGAGTCTACCTCATTACAACTGCTACCATTCCCATGCAGTGAGAACCCACAGACAAGTGTGATCTTAAATCAGCCTTTCAGAAATGTGTATGTATGGCGAAGGCAGATATTTAATCAGATATATTTGTTTTCACTAAAAATTTGGCTGTGTTTTGATTGTTGGATTTAAATCAAGTTACGTTCTAGCCCTTGAAGGACACTCTTATACGCAAACATTTATGAAGTCTTGTTTTGAGCACCTAATTCCTAAAGTTGGCATCATGAAAGAAAACAGCTAAGAAGCAAACAGGCAATTTCCTTCAGGTAGCATGTTTAGCCATATTGCAATTAATTATTTAATTAATAAGTCTATATCAGTCAGTAGGTCAAAATCATTGCCTAACATATTTTAACAGAGCCTGTGAAATTGAATGGAAAGTTTGCATTTCTCCAGGCATCCCCTCTATTTGAAATATGTGTCTGCAGCCATTTTTGCTCAAAACCAATTGGAAATTTCATTACCCCACCCCCCTACGCAGTGGTTGAAAGCTGGCATCCATGGTCTCCACCCGCAAAGCAGATATGTTTTCTTTGGAATGCAGAATGTTGCTTCGAACAGCTCAAGATTTTTTTTTTTTGGTATGTGTTCTTTTTCTGGGAAGTTGTGGTCAATATTTAAAATTTGTGTCAGGGACTCTTCTGGGAAAGCATCTAAAATAATGGAGATCAGAATTCCCATACAAATCACAAATAACTTCAAGTCTTCACTTTATGCCTTTCTTGTACTGCTGTATTCTGCATTTATAAGGCACGATTTTTATTCAATTTTTGGATCACTGTATTTAGAATCAGCCCATTCTAATAAGGAGCTACAGATGTTGGATTAAATACAACTGAATGGTTAATTGCTTAGCTTTGTTTTGTTTTATTCTCTAACTTTTGTTATTTCCTATTGACCACACCCTTTGTAAAGATTACTTTGTATAATATTGTGATACTTATCAGAATTTGAAATTTCACTCTACCCAGCTAAGAGGCACCAGGTAGGATTCAGGTCATATTTAAGGCATTAAACATTTTATCTTTTAATCAAATTAATCATTTCTTTATTTTCTTCTAACATCATCACTCAACCTTACTAATGCTGAGCCTAGAACTGAAAGTAACATTACATTTCTTTATAAATACTTCCACTGAAGTAAAACTATCCATTACATACATATACAGAGAAGAAAATACACATACGGCTATTCAAATACAGTACACAGAAACAGTTAAAAATTTCCTTCCTCTTTCTGTAGCCACTGCTTGCATCCAAGGAACTCAATAAGATGAGACACTATATGAATTTAAGTGTTCAAGCCAAAATAACGGAGGCATATTTTTGAGAAGCAAGTACATGCAAAAACTTCAGATAAGATCATATTAATACATTTACATGGGTTATTCCCTTTGTAAATTAAGAAATAAATCTTATATGGCTGCAATTTACCAGAGGATATTTAATGTGGCTCTAAAAAATGGTGTCAAGGTTGGGTTTCCCCATAGTCTAGAGGGCTTTTGATTAACTATAGGCTGTTTTGTTTTGTTTTTTTAAAGATATACCAAAAGAGTCAGATAAATATCAGGTATGCCATCTTCTCATACACGTGAAATAATTTTTCTTTTCTTAAAAGTCAGAATAGATTCCTCCTGTAGTATAACTTCATGCATTTTGACATCAACCACTCTGACTCCATAAGAAATGGCTCCAGTGGACGGGTGCACTGACTTCTCTAGCAGAATTGTCCTATGAGCCACTTATTACCATTTGCTCAAAGCAGAGTTCTAGCATACCAGCATCCTCTCCGTGAATTAGTCCTCTGGCCCTTAGGAGTGCTGCTTCTTTTTTTTCTTCTTGTGGTGTTTACTCAGGATTTCTGAAATGGAGCTGTGCTCCATCTAAAACCTTGGTTTTCCAAGATATAAAGTTGTGAAAACTCTACCTATCCAGATATTTTCTACATACACTGAGGGGTAGTGGAATCAAAAACCTATGTGTGGGAGGGACCTGCTCCCCAGCCTTAAAGTTCTGTAAGAAATGTCTTAAATTTTAGGTTGCAGTTAACTCCATATGATAATGTCATAGCCAGAATAAGATAAAGTTTATTTTGTGCTATTATTTTAATTTTACTTGAGAAAAAATACTTAGAAGGGGATAAGTTTCCTGGTGGACACTTGAGACATTTTGTTTTCATTTCATGTTAATATTTTTCACTTTATATCCATATGGGAAACTTTTTTAGTCCTCACCCCTTATTTGTTTCTTAGGTTTTCAACCACACCTGTCTCAACACTGTGAGGAAGCTATTTGATTTTAGCTTATTACAATTTGATTTTCCCTCCCACATCAATCATTGCATCGTCTCTGAGATAAAGAATCTTATTTTGTCCAGTAGTATCTATTCATCCAAATAAAAAAGTTTCCCAAGGCAATTTTGACTATATTTTTTGTTCATCAGGAGAAAAAGATCTTTTGCATTTTTTGCATGTACTCACATCAATTTGAAAAAATAAGTACTTAAATAATCAGGCTTCATATGCATATGTAAAATATGTATGCAAATTAATATCAAATTTGCTGACTTCACGGAAGACCAAATCAACAGACTAGATTGCCTGGTTCTACTCCACAACCCATGCAAACCATGTCAAAATTATTTTCCTGATCAAATCTTATAATGTGTAAAAATAAGTCCTATAATTTCACTTTGATTATTATGCTTGAAATCCTGCTCTCCACCCCATGGATGGTCACGCTTAATTTTTCATTCCACTGTCATCAAAATGCAGCTGTTCTGCCCAAAATGGGAAATGTTAGAGTTAAAACCAAGAGAGCTTGTTGAAGTGACTACAAAGACAGTGATTGCTTTTTTATTTTCCCCTCAGAAAGCAGATTACTTTGTAGTGAGTTTTTCTCTGCTATCTCTCTTCCCCAAATGGTTAACATCGGCATTGATCACGTTAACATAGAAGCATTGTAAATCAGATTCCACTCCCACCCCAACTTACAGGTTGATATAGGACTATTTGCCTATGTTCTAAAAAGACTGCACATTTCACTAATATTAGGGACTCACACAAAATGTCAATGGCTGAGGTACTTTTTGGAGCCATTGGCCAGATGTTTCCAGACGCTTACAAGGCAATATTTTCAAACTAGATATAATCAGTATAATAAATTACTGACTGGAGCTACAATAGAAATCATCTAATTGAGTTGGAAGGCTATGACTTACTTTAAAAAAACAAAAAACAATAGCCAACCTTCCTGTCTCCAGGATTTTTACACTTCTCTGTCTAAACTTTGCTAACGCTCCAAGTCCTTGGACTTCTCTGCAGTTCCTTGTGAAGTTGTAGTATTTTTTCCCCCTCAGGTCTGCTTTCACTGATTTTCTAAATCTGTAATGTCCTTCACAGAAGTCCCCTCCTTTGCTGAGTTGGCAAACATATGTTGCACTTTCCACAGAAAAATGAAACAATTTTGTCATTTATGGCTCACATTTTCTCATGCTAATTTGTTTACCACTTGACTATCTACAGAATACGTTGAAGCATTGTCTGAAGTGTGAAATATTAAGAGAGAAGTTAATTTCCACTTGTGTTCTACAGTCATTAATCCACACTACTCAGTTACAAATTCTTGCGTGTTAAAATGACCAAAACTACATCGTGGAAGTTCTTCTATTGAGTCCTCTTATTTTTGGACTATATTTAGAACAACATTCCAGTTCTTGGTACTGAAACAACTTTAAGATTTCCTAATGACAATTAACAACATTATTTCATGTCCTAGTTCTTCCAGATAGGGAATACCTGCATTTCTTATATTTAAAATTTGCCAATAGTTGGAAGAATTAGAATGGAGACACCCCAACAAAATAAGTGTGTGTCCCAAGTAAGACGGGTCCACCTAAAGTTCTCAAATATTTATTGTGATGAGAATAGTGAAATATTCCTGGTATTGATTGATACTAAAATATATATTTCTCAAAAAAATTTATGTCTTATGAGTTAGGAAAAAGCAGTTTCAGATTTGCTCTATTCTGATAGTTTGGATTTTTACATTTTGGTACTGTGCCTTTTCTTTCTTTTTTCTTTCTTGAGAACACAAAACTGGGCTGAAACAAATGTGCTAAGACATTGTTGTAAAATATTTATGGTATGGAATAGCAGATAAATAGCTAGCATGCACCACATGAATGCCAATTAATGCCCAGGAAAATATTTTCAATGCTTTTAATAATTCAGCATGGCTTATTTTACCAATGAAGATCTGGTTTAACCATTTCTGCGGTAATAGAACTAAGTGGCTAAGAGGGTACAGAATAGCCTGAGGCTCATTAAAGCCTTGGATGCCTTTGCTGTGGCTTTCTTTCTGCTCCAGCTAATAAGACATGCAAACTTCAGCATTAAGTATCCCCAGCTAAAATCCATTTCATCTTATAACCAGATTGCTTGATCTATTTAGTGCTGGATTCAATTAGCATGCTTAGAGAATCTGAAAAATGCGATACATACCAAAATTTTAAGTCCCCAGGGACAGCTAAGTGCAATATTCAGAAGGTGACTTGTGTCTGTCAGAGCCCTCTCTCGCGGCTGATCTCAGGGCAGTTCTGTAGGAATCATCCAGCACCATAAGAAATAGACTTGTACTTCAGCTCAGTTTTTCTTCAATTAAAGTGCATTGTATCTGGATGGGGAAAGTGTCCACTCCCAGATTCTTCATCACTAGAGATCAGAGCATTCTTGATGTTCTTTCTATCAGATAAAATGGCCTTTAAAGTTTGCTAGGAAGATGCAGTGGCAGAAGACAGGTGCTTGCTTCCTTAAATCGACATTCAGAGAAAAGAGGGCATAGCTAATGGGTGGGGATGAACACACAGCCTCTCGCCTTCCAGGTCCAGCAGGGAAGAAATTGAATAATTTTACCCACTTTGCTACACAGATGATTATAAGACTCGAAGCAATCACCCAGGCTGGCTAAGGTGCCTCATTTGATTATATTCTGTGAAGGCAAAAATAAATGCAAACAAAAAATCAGAAACATCCTTTCTACATGTCTCCTTTCAGCCAAAAAGATGCTCTTTCTCATTGCCACTTACATACAGAAGGTTTGGAGCAGCCTAGCTTGTGGCATCGTCCCTCCCCCGTGACAACCAGCTCTCTCTCCCTCTCATTCTCTGTCTCCCCTCCCTCCCTGCCCCTGACTCCCTCCCTTCCTGCTTCTCTCTCTCCTCTCCAGCTGCCTTAGTCTGTGGATGCTGCTGCTGATTAATCAGGGATTCTGAAACAAAGAACCTACCTCTGAAATAAGCAGTAATCTTTCTTCTCTCTTTCTGCAATCCGTCTGCATTGAACGGCAAAGCTGCCCGCCTTCTAGCACCTTGGATAGTTCCTGCTCACTAGGCCCATTGGAAAAGGGAGGAGAAGCAACTGAAGAAATGACAAGAAACCCAAAAGCAGCATCGTTCTACTTCAGATTTCGGCTCCCTGGGGTCTCTCATCCTCATTAAAGGCCTCACATCTAGGCAGCAGAGCCTCTCTCTTTCATCTATCTGAGCTGAAGTCTGATTAGTAAATAATAAAATGAGAAGAGGATAAAGAAACCCCTTCATTTATAGCCACTACAACACTAATTCAGTCTTTATGGAGAAGAGAAATAGAAATCCATCAAAAATAAAGGTTCTTACTCTCAAGGATGTTTAAGTCATAAGCTTTGCACCCCTGGCATGGCTAATGAAAATGAGCAACAACTTAAACGGAACATTCAGATCTCAGTTTGATACCCCTATTTGATATCAATTTTGCCTCCACCCTCTCTCTGCACAGCGAGCCAGGCACACAATTACTGCTGACGTTCTTCAGGCTGCTGCTTGGGGAAAGAGGGGAGGAGCCTTTTAACCTCATCAAAACAGCTTCATGCCACCTGCTCCCATGGCATGAGAAAAAAACTAGCCCAGTTAGAAAGAACATGCACAGCACATGCCTATGTGGAATAAAGATCTCACTTGGAGTGCACATTATTTATTTACTTTTTAACAAAAATAAGATGTGAACTGACCACGGCATGTGTGTCATTAACTCCTATAGAATCATTGTGGAAATTATGTAAAGTAATCCTGTTTCCTACATATGCTGACAACTCCCCTAACACATGACTTAATATCTTACTGAATATATACATATATATCATGTTATATAATACAATCTATATAAACAGACATGGATACACATACACACATATATATACATATATATATATATATATATATATATATCAAGTCCTAAATTTTTATCTAACATGCTTTTCCTGAGTAAAAACTGTAACAAAGTAAAATGTAAAAACTGTAACAAAGTAAAATGTAAATGCTTTAGTATATAAGTTCCTACTATGGTAAAAGTAACAGGAGGCAAAAAGTTTCTGCTTCATTCCAGCTAAAATATAAATTTTAAGGGAGAAAATGAGTTTATGATTCAATAGTGACTTGTAGATTTTTTCTCTTCACATTCTTTTCTAATAATTCTTATTGTAATTACCTTCTCTCAAAAGCTGATTTTTCTCAAGTGTTAACCTAAACATCTAAATTCATAACTAATTTCTTAGAAAAATTTGTTCTGAATGTAATTTTTCATATATCAACAGGCCACGAAAAAGTAATAAACTTAAGTTCACCTTCTTGATTTTTAAATGCTACCTGGGACTGTGGTATTATTTTACAATTTTAAATTTGTGAGTGTCTGCAGGAAAATGAAATCAGCACACTACATTACCTTAAGACTTTCAGTTTTCACACGTCCTAAAGTGCATTCTGAAAGTGAATCACAGAAGTCATTTATTTTCCTGTCTTCATGCATCTACTTTTTGTTCAGAACGGGACATATGTTTAATGAACTTTGAAAGATTAGACAGATGAAAAACAGGAAGGGAAATATAATTGGGAAAGAGACGAGGTCATCTCTCTCCTTATCTCTCTCTCTCCCCCTCCTACTCCCATCTTATTAAGATTCTAAAAACAGCACATTGTAGAAAAGTGTCTTAAGTACCGCTTATGAAGTAAATAACAACCACCACACTATGATCAAGAGGTTTAGTAGTGTATCATTAATAATAGTCAACTGTCACTAAAGAAGTTGTCTTTCAGCACATGACTGAAAGTAGAAAAGAGTCTTTATAAAGACATTATATGACAGATATCTTGCAAAGTGGAAATATTTTATCATGACTGATAATTTTAATCATATTTGGGAGGTTATATTTTTCAACTATAAAGAGCTTGAATAGGCACTGGTGTAAAGTCCATTTCTACATACGAGAAAGTTACCCCCTGGATAACCCCACTGACCCGCTTTAGGCCTCACCTGCTTCGGCTCGCTGGGACAAGGAGCTAAGATCACTGGGCTGGTTGTGCATCTTTGGACACAGAGTGGTTCTCAGTCACCTTGTTTCATGCACCGGGAAAATTTCAAATAAAGGAGACACTGACATATGGTAGCTAACTATAAAAAGAAGCGACATTTTTACTACAAAAATTTCAAGAGCTAAAGGGATTTTTTATCCCCCCAGAATAAGGAGAACATATTTATGATAATATGTGGTTCTTAAAATTTAATGTTTTCAGCTTTAGGAAAATTTGTGATTATTGCAGTTTCCCTTCCTTCCTCCTATCTTTCCTTCCTTCCTTCTTTCTGCCCTCCCCCCCCCCCCCGTTTTCATAGAAGAAAGCTTGAGAAACAACACATTATATCAACCCCATCTTCCCAATCCCATTCTCTCCCCACTTCAGGCCGCAGAGTCTGTTGATTGGGCATTTTTTTCTCTGGAGACATATTGATGTATTGGCATTTTTGGCACCTTTGAAAGTTGGTACCTAGAAGTTCCCAAGAACTACTTCTTCAGGTCTCATTAAATGAAACAGAAAAGTGTCTCTATTTTCAAATAATCATAGAACCAAATGTAAAACTCATTTCTACTCACTTCAATAATATCTGGAGAAAAATGCATTGGACAAAATTAAAGTTAAAAATACTTAAAATATAAGTATAGAGGTAAAAAAAAAAAACTTGAACTGTAGTTATGTGCTGGCTTATTTCTTGAACATCTTCATAAATACATATATTGTTGTGATGTCAATGGGAAACCAGTCCCTAAAATGCCTCATGATTCATTTCTTTTAAAATTCTTAAGTGAGGGTGGCTTGGCTCTTTTTGTTATGCTATGCTGACTACCAGAGTTCATGCTGCTTGAGTTAAATAGGTCCCTTCTATGCACGCAGATAGACCAGGAGAGTTAGAGCCCTGAAAGTGCTTCTTAGTCTATAAATCAGCCAGATGGTGGGGAGTGCTTTTTGTATAAAAGTGATGCAAATGAGAAAAGGGAGAATTGAAATTGAGCGATCTAGCTACCTAAATTTTAAGGGGCTTATTTAAATATATCAAGAGGTACTCTCTGAAGTCATGTCATAATTTATAATAAAGCCTTTCTATTTTTTCCCGTGATCTGTAATTTTTCTATTATTCTCTCCACATTTAGCTTAAGGAGATGACACCTCTGTTATAATGAAATTATTCCACTAGGGAAAAAGCTAATCTCCTTCCCATCCAATCAGGATTTCTAAGCATTCTGGTAACAGCATGAAATGAAAGTCTTGGTAGAATGAGAACCATATGTTCCTCATGATTTTTGCCTATACAACAATATAAATGTCAACAGAAGTCATGCATATGATCTGGGGAAAATGGGGTAGTAGATAACAATATGGTGCTCAGGGATCCAGAATATTGAGCAACTGGGGGAAAAATTTACTGTCTGGTAACATGCTATATTTGTACCGTTAAGGCATTGTCAATAAATGGGAGTTTCCATGGCAGGGAACTTATGAATTCATCCAGACATCCCTCACTTTTGTCCAGCAGATATTTTCCTGTAAATATTTCAGAATATTTTACATCAATTTAAAAAATGTATCTATCTTTGTTGTTCTGTTTAGTCACGTAATTGTGTCTGACTCTTTGAGACCCCATGGACTACAGCCCACCAGGCTCCTCTGTCCATGGGAATTTTCCAGGCAAGAATACTGGAATGGGTTGCCATTTCTTTCTCCAGAGAGTCTTCCCAGCCTAGAGATTGAACCTGCATCCCCTTCAAGTCTCCCGCATTGAAGGTGGACTCTTACCACTGAGCCACTCAACTATTATTTTTTTTAATTGTTAAGAATGAATCTACATATTGTACCAAAAAAGACACTCCCACTCCAACCATCTTCCTTCTTTGGATAATTTTTATTCATTTCAAAAATCGGGTTTATCATACCCTGGTAGCCTGTTCCGATTTATCATAATCCAAACTTGATGCTTACTCTCTGCTAGGAAATTCTCCAGCAATAAATATTCCACCCATAAAAAGCGAAGCCATGTGGTTTTCCATACTCTGCCAAACATGTCTATTTCACTCTCCATGTGTGCTAGTCTGAGATTACTGAATGAGTGGGACCCTTCCTTCTATTCTCAGGACCCCAGGACATGGATTGCGTCTGGGCAGCAGCAAGGATTTATTGGATGCGTGCGTGGCTCCAGATCTTAACTGGTGACAGGGCTTGTACACATAGCAAATGCAAAAGCACCCATGTACTGAACATGAAATTCTCTTTTCAAAGAATTCTAAGTCAAAATTTCAAAATAGAATTAGCCAGTCTAAAATGCAAATTTTTAAGAAAGGAAAAAAAAAATTTTTTCCAAAGAGGCTCCATATCTTATACCTGAAAAATCAAATGTAGCCAGTTTGAAACTGGCTGGAAATAATGAGCTAGGATCATGGAAAGTTCAAGTAAACATACAAATACAAGGACAGTATTTTGAGAAAACAAAATTTTTCTGAGGGTCTCTCAGTCAACTTAGGCTGCTATAACAAGCTGTGGATTCCATAGACTGGTTTACACAATAGACACATACCTCACTATTCCAGAGGCTGAGAAGTCCAAGGTCAAGGTGCTAGTAGATTCAGTTTATAGTGAGGATTCTTTCTCTGACTTGAAGAGAGCCACATTCTTGCTGTGTCCTCATATGACAGAGAGAGTGAGAGCTCTGATC